CTAATCATAAAATGTCCAATAAGTAATAAGTTTTATCTTTAAAACATTTTGAGACTAATTGACCAGCTAATCATCAAGGATATGGTGTTGAAATAAAGTATTAAGAAAAAATCTTCTAATTCTTTAGTTCTAAAGTTAAAATTATTGAGTTTATGAGGCAATTAAGAATTTGTGAAGATAGCATAAGTAAGAGATTAATTATTTTTAAAAATCTCCTCTATTCATGAAAGACTTGGGCTTATATGGAGCCTTACAACTTTCTTTACAAATAATAACATTCACTTCTTCTATATTTCCTATTAACACATAGGACCCTAAAATATATACAATTCTCAACACTACCCCTCAAGATGGGCAAAGAAATATTCACAAACCCCATTTTATCACAAAATTTAGATAGATCTACTGAGCGAAGTTCCTTGATGAGGCAGTCAGCTACTTGCTCTGTAGTAGCTACATGGCTTATCTCCAGTAGTCTACTATTCAACTTCTCCTTGATGAAGAAATTATTAATCTCCACATGCTTGTTTCTATCATGTTGCATCGGGTTGTTGGCAAAGATGATTGTTGACTTTTTGCACCACAACTTCATTTGAGTTCCTTGGTCTACTTTGAGCTCTATCAATAGAGCTCTCAGCCATAACATAACCCCAAGATCATGGCCATGTACTTTGCCTCTGTCGTCGATCTCGCAACTACTGACTGCTTATTACTCTTCCAAGAGAACAAATTGCCCCCTACAAACATAAAATGTCTTGATGTGGACCTCCTTTTATCAAAATAACTAGCCTAATTAGAGTCACAATAACGCTTAATACCTAAATACCCATTTTTTTTAGGATCGACCCCATCCCTGGTGCACTCTTCAGGTACCTCAAAATCTAATACGCTACATTCATTCAACCCTTCCTCGAATCATACATGTAGAAACTCAACATGCTTACTGTAAATAATATGTCAGGATGAGTGTGACTCAAATAGATGAGGAAGCCTACCAATCTCTGGTGTCCCTCATGATCAACTGGCTCTCCTGCCACTGCACTCAACTCTCCATTTTGAACAGTTGGTGAAACTGCAAAGTTGCATCCCAACATGTCTATCACTGTGAACAAGTCTAGCGCATACTTCTTCTGATATAGAATAATCCTTTCTACTCCACGAGCCACATCAATCTCAAGAAAGTATCTAAGCTATCCCAGGTTCTTCACCTCAAAGTCTTTGCCCAACTTGCCTTTCGCTGAGCGATCTCTCTCTCGCATCACCAGTGATAATCATATCATACACATACACAACAAGAATAGTAATGTGGTCACTATGTTGTCGAAAGAGCACTATGTGGTCCAAATTGGTCTATCGATAGCCCATGTATATCATTGCTCTCCTGAACCAGTCAAATCAAGTTCGAGGTGACTATATTAAACCATACAGTGAATTCCTCATTCTACATACCTTGTCCACTGTTTGGTTTGTGTCAAAGCCTAGGAGTATCTCCATGTACACCTCCTCTAGCAAATCAACATAAAGAAATGCATTCTTCACATCCATTTGTTGTAACATCCATCCATCATTAACAACCAAAAAGATGAGTGTCATGACTGTACTCATATTTGTCAATGGTACAAATGACTCATCATAATCGATACTATACGTCTAACTATATCAATTCACCATCAATCGTGCTTTATAGTGATCAATCTTTTCTTCTAGGGTCTATTTGGTTGTGAATACCCATCGATTGGATTTTCCTTGTTGGTAGCAACGTGAGCTCCAACGTCTTGTTCTTATTGAGAGCATCAATTTTCTCTAGTATGGGAGCCTTCTTCTTTGGAACTTCCTTAGCTACCTACCAATACTTAAGTATAGAGACAATGTCAAATGATGCAAAAAATGCTCCATATGCAGATGATATGTTAGAATATGAAATGAACTGAACAATGTCATGTGAGAAACCAATGCACTCATAGGAATGACCCACATTGCTGCGAGAGGTTCTTTTTACAGAGTGAAAGAAGAAGGGAGAGGAATCATATCACTTGCGTAATCGAATTTATTGGTGCATAATGTAGGTGCCTCAGGAGTCAAAGTAGATTGAGACATGAGGCTTGCTAGCACAAGTGACACGAAAAGCATAGTTCTTTCATTTTCCCTCCTCATTTTATACACCCTCAGATCCTCTTGAGCTTAAGGTTACACCTGAGAGAGAAGGGGAGCAAGCTCCCTAGAAGAGGGGGAAGAGAAAGAGAGAGCCTAACGGCCCCCCTTTACATGAAAGAGGTCTTCTATTTATATGAGGTGAAAGTAGGGAGATATATTATTACAATTTCACCCTCGATTTATGGAGGACGGTACATGGTAATTTAGTCTTTTGTCGTCAGATCATATTACCTGAAGGGCTTGTCGGTTGTCGGATTTGGCCTTCGGTCGGCGAAATGAGACCAGTTGGAGAAGCAGCCAGGCAGAGGATGTCGCCTAAAGTGGTGGCTGACCATGGGAGGTTGACTGGAGCATCTGGAGTGGTGGCTAGCATAAGAGAGTCGGCTTGAATGGCGGTCGGCCATGGGAGGCTGGTTGGAGCGTCGGCCGGCCAAGGGAGTCGACTGTAGTGGCAGTTAATCATGGAAGGCCCGTTGGAGCGACATGAATGTTTATCGTCCAAGAGAGGTCGTTGGAGTGTTGGTCGGGCAATGGAATAAGTCAAGGGGTAAATTAGAAATTAGAACCCTCGCAAAATAGAGATCTTTGGGGAAAACTAATAAAGCTAGTGCAATCTTCTACGGTTCAAAATTTTAAAAAATGAATTGAACAATTATGAATTTTATTCCCTTATGTTGATAGAGCTTTTTGGCAATTTAATTTTCATTCAAGACTTAAGCCGAAAAATGCAAGAAGAGGTCCAAATCCATTGATCCTCTTTGTTATCCCAAGCCATGAACTTGGCAAAAACCTTCAAGAAGATAAGCCAGTGAAAATCAAACCATATCACTACTGTCACTACCAATAAAAAGAAAATGAGATTAAATGTATGGTCTTCGATATGCTTTCATCTAGAACTATCAGGCTTGGTGTTGGATCTTTTTCATCTCCAATGGTTTCTATTAAAAAGAAATACAGCACTTTGTGATTCAATTTTGACTATCGTTCACTTAACAAAATTATAATTTCAAATATATTTCTAAATCCGACTCTTAATGAGCTCCTTAATGAACTACAAGTGACCACATTTTTTTATAAAATAGGCGAAAATTGAGGATACCGTCAAATTTGAAAGGCTAAGATTGATTGTTATAGGACTGTTTTTCTTACTCATGTGGGTCGTTATGAATTCTATGATTTCATATTATCCAATACACCAGATTCCTATCATCATATTTTTAACAAAATTTTTGAATTTTACATTAGCAAAATTGTCAATATTTTTTAAAGATATTTTTGTATACAACAAAACATATGATAACCACCTTCACCATCTACTAAAATTCTTAAGCTTATCAAAGATAATACATTCCTTTTAAGAAAACAAAATAAACTTTTGGCATCATTCTGTCAATTACCAGCAATAGTTGCATTTCTTCTAACATTTATAAAATTGATGCAACTATAAATTGGCCTATTCAAAATGCACCTAAACAATTGAGTGAATTTCTAGGCTTGGTTGGTTAATACCATCATTTTGTTCATAATTTTTCCACTATAGATTCACCACTTACATCATCACTTCAAAAACAGCAATTCTATCGGAATTTTGACTATCAAAGCCATTGCTTATAAAACGACATTAGCTGACCTCATTAATAGAATTACTACTCATGCTAATCACTTCCCCAATTACACTTCTAAAGATGGGAGTATTTCTTTCAAGGGAAACATTATTGTGCCCCAACAATAAACTTTAATTTCTTCTTTATTGCATGCTTATCATTCTTGCACAATTAGAGGTTATGATGGGGTAAACAAAACACCTGTCCATAGATAAAATATATTTTTCGTTGGCCTAAACAACAGTTTGGCATGCAGAAATTTGTTAAAATATGTTCGATTTTCTAAGTTACGAAGTATCAATCGTTACTCCAAGCTTGATTGCTTCATTCAATCTGAAGTTTAGGAAAATCTTCCAAATTGTCCAATTCTAGTAGTAAAACTGCTATAATGATAATCATGTATAAGTTAACTAATGACATTGATTTTTATCCATTACCAACTCATTTCATGCCTCCATTGTATCTGATAGGGATCAAATTTTTATGAGCCATTTTTGGGGAGAAATATTTAGTTTACATGGTGCAAAATAATGATTCCATAATCTATACAACCAACCACCCTTAAGTGGATGGTCAAACTAAAGTATTAATCGAGCTTTAGAGCAATATTTTCTACTATACAATAGAAGCAACAACTACTTGTTACAATTTTACTCATGGGGAAAATGATCATATAACACCTATTATCGTAATTCTATTGGGTTCACCCCATTTTAATTTGTTTAAGATCAATCATCTCTAGATATTCTTTCTTATATCCTGACAACATCGCCAATGACATTGTTCACAACCCTTTAACCAACAAGGATTCAATTCGACGATTACTCATAAAAATTATTGTGTGGCAACACAAAACTGTATGAAGTAACAAGCGAAAAAATATCATCATCATCTTCAATTCAAACTAGGTAAGTTTTATTTAAATCACTGTAGGGTCGTCTTGAAAGAATTAGTAGCGTACTATAAATCTTTTGTAGGGATTAGGAAAATTCTATGTTTGATATGAAAATTTACAAATATAATGTAAAATTTTAATATATTTGAAATTTGCACTATTTAATTTTGACTGAATTTAAAATTCTCAGTCCAAAAGACAATCTATATGATATGTGCATATAACGTTTCTTTCCTCAGTCAAAGGCCACCGTCCAATAAATTCTCCCCCGAGATCTCCACCGTCCACCTTAAAGACCAGTTCTGCTCTTTCACGCTGAAACGGCTAACCTTCATTAATTCCCCAATAATAATTCAATAATATTCCCATGCGAAACATTCCCCATCACGGACAACAAAAGCCGATTCCGAATCAGTTACAGTTAAACCGTTTCGCCGGCCATTAACCAAACAGCTCTCATCTTCCGTCCCTAAACTCCAGGAAAGACATCCCATTTATCATTTTCCGCATCGACCCAACTTCCAAAACCTTCCCTCATTCTCCAATCTTCAAAATTCAATTTTTATTCCTCCTTCAATCCAATCGGAATCAATGGCGAAAGGGTCCGGCCGCGTCCGCTTAAACATTGGCGGTAAGATCTTCGAAACCACCACTACCACTCTCGCCAATGCCGGCCGCAACTCCATGCTAGGCGCCCTCCTGGACGAAGAATGGAATTTCGCCGCTGGTGATGGCGATGCCTCAGAGTATTTCATCGACCGCAACCCGGAGTGCTTCTCCGTCCTCCTCGACCTCCTCCGTTCCGGCGAGCTCCACCTCCCTCCCCACCTTCCAAACAAGCTCCTTTACCGCGAAGCCCTCTTTTATGGCCTCCTCGATCACGTCCGAGCAGCCCAGTGTGGTCCATTTGACGGCAACCTCCTCCGCCTCTCCTCCTCAGTTTATGGACGCGCACCAGGAGACGGGACCGCCATCCGCGCAGCGCCCGATGGAGGATGCTGCGTCGCACACGGCAGCATTGTTCACATCTACGACTGGATGCTCGAAGAACACCGCCCAATCAATCTTGACTACCAACGAATCAACGATGCCGGCTACATTGACTCAGACCGGATCGTCATCACCGCCCGTGAACGACCGGACCGTGCTGGCGGTGGTATGGGGCTCTTCTCCTCCTCCTCCGGCGAGCTCCACCACCGTTTCCATGTCTTCCACGACAATAAAGCTAAGACCTTCACCGCCGGCGCTCTCAGCTTCAGCGATTCCCAATTCAAGATCTTTGCAAGCTGTAAAGGCCGATGCAATGAATATGGAATTGGGGTTTGGGATCAGAACACCGGAAACCAGTCTGATTTCTTCTACGAGCCGCCGGGTTGTTCTTTAGGCGACGCCGATAAGTTGCAGTGGATTAAAGGCGACAGCTTTTTGATGGTGGCCACTCTGTTTCCAAGAACAGATAACTGTTTCATTGGGATACTGGATTTCAGAGAGAAGAACTTGGTTTGGTCATGGACTGATGAAGAAAGAATGGCGGTTGCTTCTCTTGATGAGAAGGGAGTTCTGGATGCAATTGTTATGGAAGATAACAGGTCCATATGTGTTGTGAACCAGTATGAGGATTTGGGGTTCTTGGACCTAAGGAGTAATAGAGGAGGGGTTAGATGGAGCTCAAGGAGCAAGCTTACGAAGGGCAAGGTTAGGGGAGAGGAGAGCTGTTATCCAAAACTGGTGATGAAAGGCGGCCAGCTATTCTCTTCGATGAACGACAGTATTTCGGTGTTCTGCGGGCCGGAGTGGGTGCTAACGTCGACATTGCGGAGGAGTGCCGGAGATTCTATCTGTGATTTTTCGATTGGTGGTGATCGTTTGTTTGCCTTGCATAGTGAGGAGAATGTGTTTGATGTATGGGAGAGTCCAACTCTCCCAATTGTTTAATGTATGGAAGCTCATTACAGTGAATGGTTCTGATAAAATGTGAGAGATTATTTAGTTATTGAGGTAGAAATGAGGAATTTTGCAAAAAATTTTTAAGCTCTGTTTGCTGAAAGATTGACATTTGTCATACAAGTTGCGTTTTTGTTGTTAAAATAATAAGTTTGTATGCTAAAAGTACCCACTGTAGTGATGATTGAGAAGTTTGAAAGCAGGAGTTATTAATTTTTTTTTTGGGAATATTGAGGGCCACACTCAACTTTTCATTAAGAAAAAGAGATCAAAATACAAATCATTGCAATGAGCTTCAAAAACAGGTTAAAAAAAAAAATCTGTAAAACCACAAAAGCTATAATAGCTGTAAGCCAAAGAAAATGACAATGCGAAGCAGAAGGGGAAGTTTCAGAGTGAAGTTACATAGATCTTTCCTTAAAGAAATGTATTTTGATTCTGTTACTAGGCTGCAGCTTCTAGTAGGATTTGGGGGCTTCTATTTATGACTCACTATTCTTAAAAAACAGTACTACTTTACTTCTTTTAGAAAGAGTCGCGTATAAGATTTCCTACCTCCTCCCTTTTCCATGGCCAGACTTCCTCTTGAGGATAAGTAAAACATATCAGAGATCCTACTCCAATTTGTCCTTTTTGTTAGGTGAATTTGAAAATCTTACTTATACATGAAAAATTGTATTTTACTTTTAAAAAATTAAAATAGTAATATTTTAAATGAGATATGAAAGATTTGAACTGTATAATTGTAAAATGCAAGGTTTAGATGTTAACTATGTAAATAAGTAAAAAAATTGGGGTGATATGTATCAGAACAATTGTTAAGGGCAAACTTGAGCCTAACTTGAAGGGACTAATCAAGAAATTTTCGAAGTTATCAAAACATTTCTCTACTAGGGTTCAAATGGCGTGGATTCAATTATATTGTAAAAATAATTTTAGAATTAGAACTATTTTGATAATTTTTTTTTTTAATTCATGAGAAATATATTTTTTTCTTTTAAGAAAATCATACAATAATTTTACTACAACTATCATAATTTTGCACATCTGATCTCAAGGATCACAAGATTTCTTTTTCACGAGAATTTTTATTGTATTTAAATGAAATTTTAAATGTTGTATTAAAAATAAGGGCATTGACATACGTGTCACCCTATTCTCCTGTATTTACATATCTAATACTTAAACTTACATTTTTTACATGCATGACTCCCATATCCTTAACTTCACATGAGAAGTCCCGCAATTTTTAACTTTTCAAAAGTGAAATATATGTTTCCATGTTTAAGTTTATGCCACCAAAGCAATATAAATATAGATATCAAATTTTAGGTTTTAGATATGTCAATACACAAGAATTGTGTAGTAACTATGTAAAATTTTATGAAAATCTGTCAAAACCAAGCACCAAGGCTTGCTCTACTTGTGTGTAGCAATTGAGGGCCGTTAGAGTTGATAGTGGCTAGAATTTGGCAGCTTTAAAGTCCTGAAATGACTTTGTTTTGAGAAAATATTGCGTTCAAAGTCTCGATGTGGAGTACAACATGATTATACTAGAGGTTTTTCTTCAATCAGGCATGCTAGGTACATTTTTCACATACTCAGACTGAGAGAGACTCAACATGCCTCTGACTTTATCTCTGACAATTTTCATACCAAGTATTTGCTTTGCCGCTCCCAAATCCTTCATTGTAAAGTGCTTTGACATCTGCTCCTTCAGATTATTGATATACTCAATACTAGCACCTGCAATAAGCATATCATCCACATGCAACACTAGGTTGATATAAGAATTGTCAAAATATCTGACAACAATGATCTGCCTAACATTTATTGTACTTTGCACTGTGCATGAAATTATAAAATTTCTTGTACCACTGTCTAGGAGCCTGTCTAGGAGCTTGCTTCAAGCTTGCTTCAGACCATACAAGCTCTTATTCAATCTGCAAACTGACTCTTCATTTCCTTGTATCACGAAACCTTCAGCTTGTTTCATGTAGATGTCTTCTTCAAGTTCCCCATGAAAAAAGACTTTCTTCACATCTAACTGCTTAAGGAAGAGATCTTCAGTAGCCACTATAGATAGTACTATTCTGATGGTTGTAAGCTTCACCACATAAGAGAAAATCTCGGAATAATCAATACCGTGCTTCTGCTGAAAACCTTTTACAATAAGTCTAGCTTTGTACGTCTAGCTAAGTCTAGCTTTGTACCTCTTACTGTCATCATGCTCATTTTTCACCATGTACACCCACTTGTTCTTTAATGTCTTCTACCCAGATGAATGTTTTTTTCTGGTGTGATTTTTTCTTATTCTATTTTTCACTTTGTCGTCGATCGTTTTAAATTTCATATATACCACAACACCATAGTTATACTAAAAAAAAACCTTTAGTACAACCATGTTGCACTCTATGACTGGGATGTGTTTCAGACCTTTCCGCTTTTTAGACAAGTATGCGTGTTAAATTTTAATTAAAGTCCGTACATCAGAAATTCGGACATAATATTTTCTTCTTTGTTGGTTGAGATAAGAGGCTTCAAGTGAGCTGCTGCAACTGCCGAGGAAATAGATGAAGAGGATTGGGTAGTTAGGTTGGTGTCCTATTGCTTTAGGTTTTAGTTGGACAGAAGACTGCTTCTTTTCTATATCATTCAACACAAAAATCATTTTCTCATTGCCTAATTAATTATGGACTAGAAACTTCAAAGGAAATTATTGGCTTGAGTTCAATTAAAGTACATTTATCTCTCATAATTGTTCATAAAAGCTTGCGAAAAACTCGTTCTATTAATTGACTTGTTAAAAAAATTAATTTAGAATTATTTTTTTAGGTAAGTCGAGTAGAACACCAATATAGATTTCAAGATCGATAAGTCGAACACAAGCAGACATTTGTGAGATCAAGCTCCAATGTCTTGATTCAAAATAATTAAAATTTAATATTAATTTAGTTTTTATATTATTTATATGCATCATAAATTTGTGATAAGATGCTTGATTTTTAATATATTGATTTGATTTTTCTATATTTTATCTAATTAAATTAAAATTTAGTATGTTTAAATTAGTTTGAGTTAAATATGAGCCAAAAAAAAGCCATATGAATAAATCAAATACAAACAAGTTATGCACACATAATTTCGAGTGCAGGCTAATTTCAGACAAATAAATATTTGAGCGAACTGAAACAGACAAATTCTGAACTCACTAAAATTTGGCTATTTTATGACCCTTCTCTTCATTTATTAATGATGCATCGTCCATCAACTATGTTGTTTTAACTCAATATCGGATCTATGAAGAAGATGGATGAAAATAGAGACCATCTCTCGAGCTTTTAGTTCTCAAATGAAGTGATCAATCAGTTCACTTTTTATGCAAAATAGTTATTTTATATATTATAACTATAAAGATTAAAAAAGAAAAAAATAATTAAAAAAATAAGTGAAATAAATATATTTTTAAAAACAAAGAAAAATAAAACACAATGAAAGTCAGCATCATATTACTATAGCTATTATTGTTTTGAAATAAAACAGTAACAACATCTTCGCCATGAAGGAAGAAAGATGTAGAAGTAGCACCTAACATTATTTGTATCTTCTCCATACTTTTTGTACCAAATGCTTATTTGATTTCATGGAGCAGAGCACAAAGAACTGTTGCTGAATGTGCACATCATTATGTTCTTTTATTCCACCGCATCCATAGCTCACTTTAGCGCTGGGAAAAAAAACTACTTTTTTTAGTCATTTCTCACCCCTAAACAAAATATTTAATTACATAAGAATTGTGTGATATTTATGTAAAATTTTTCAAAAAATATATAACCAAGATGGATAGGTGGACACATGAGGTCCAATCGTTTAATAATGTAATGTTAGTTTCTGGAACGTTTATTACATTCAATGACCCTCTATTTATAGGAGGGCCAGAATTATTGTGCAATCTCAATTATGCCCCCAGATGTTTGGTTGGCTGATTCCGAATCTGTCGAGTTCGAGATCGATTGATGCATAATTAACATACATATGGCAGGTCGTCCTCCCGTCAGTCAGGCTTTCATCGGGCATCCTAGGAGGCCAGCCTCTTGATCAGCTCTTAGCTAGCTGACCGTCAACTGCTCAATTTCCCTTGCTTCTGGCATCCCTATTCTGCTTTCGTTAGATCAGTCCTTGTAAGTGTATCTTTTCCCAAGCCGTTGGATCCACGGAGAATGTCATCCATACTATGTTTATTTTACAAGAGTAGATATATGTGACACTTTAACTATAAATGTCATGCACGGCATGAATGTCAATGTGAGCTCAGTTACCACACTTAATGGTAAATATAGATTACATCATTTAAATTAATGATCTCCAATCGTATTCTTAAAATTTAAATAATTGCAAGTACAAAAATATTATTGCCCCAAAGATATTTGTACGTTTAAGGCATCATCAAACGAGCCGTTTCGTGTGTAAACTCGCCGTAAACTGCTGCTAGTGAGTGGCCGGAATTATTCTATGAAAAGTCTAAAAACCACAAAAAGAAATGTGTACCGTTATGCATATAGTATAGTAGGTGAACTACTTCGTATAGTCGGCTATTGCTTCCGAACTTAATTTGAATAATTGAGACAAAATTGGGGCATTTACATACATGCCACCCAATTCCTGTCTATTTTACATATCTAAAATTGTAAACTTTACCTTTTTTTTTTTTTTTTGCATTTACACCATCAGAATCTGTCATATCACGCAAGAAATATCATAATTTTAGTTTTTAGAAAGTGAAATACGACTTTTTTATCTATAGATAAGGTGGTAAATATGCAAATGCATAGCATTTGAGTGGTACGTATGTAAACGTTCCTAAATTATAAGTTATTAGCCTTGAATAGAAAGAGATATAAGATTAAGGGAAGAAAAAAAATTAATTTGTATTAATGTTCGCTGAAATGTATGTCCTAATTATTGTGATTGACCAATAACATATATATTACTTAATTAAAAATGACAAATTTTGAATTTTCAAAATACT